TGTACCTGGTGCGGGCACATCCCCAGTAGGAGGTGTGCAGGAGGCAGCTGATCGATGTCTCTCTCTCATCGATGTTTCTAACTCTCTATCTCTCTCCCTTCCTCTCTGTAAAAAATCAATAAAATATATTTTAAAATAAAATAAAATAAACTAGTCCATGTAAGATACTTATAACAGATCATGGCACATGTTATGTGTTTACCATCAAACAAAGAGATTAAGTAATTAGATGATAGAAGGAAAGGAGAAAGATGGCTCAATATCAGGATAACTGATACAGGAGTGATTTCAACTTACAAGCTGAAAAAATAATTACGTAAAGCAAAAACAGTGTTCACTAACTTTCACTCACAAAACAATCACACATTTTCCTACATTAAGTGACCACTGATGACAAAAAGCAGATTTAACAGGGAAATATAATTTAAAAATAAACAAAAATCGAAACAAGTCTTCATTACAGCTGTCTAGACCATCTGACATTTAAAAATACATCACTGTAACAGAACACACTACCACCAAGAAAGGACTCAGGCAAAAAATAGAAAGTAAATGCTAAGAGTTATAGAAATTTATCAGTGGATGGAGCCATGAAGAATGGTACCAAGGAAACATGGGCAACACAACTCCTGCTAATATCAGAAAAAGAAGACAGGACAACAGGATGAGGTGGATAACTGGTTTGAAGCAGCCCAGGGGAAAAAATGTAGACAGGTTTAATGGAAAGAAAATGATCAAAGCCTGACGACAGACCAAAATAGAGCTGATTTTGTGGAAATAACCTTGTGTATTTGAAATAATTTCTAACAAGCATGTGCAAAAGCATTTGCAGAGGACAGGAGAAGGCTGGAGCCTCAGAACTATGAACCACCGGGTTAGGAAAAAAGGTAGTACACGAAATAAAATACCACCTGGCCGGTGTGGCTCATGGTTGAACTTTGACCTATGAATCAGGAGGTCACGGTTAGATTCCCGGTCAGGGCATATGCCCTGGTTTCGGGCTCGATTCCCAGTGTGGGGCATGCAGAAGGCAGCTGATCAATGATTCTCTCTCATCAATGATGTTTCTGTCTCTTTCTCGCTTTCCCTTCCTCTCTGAAATCAATAAATATATAAAGAAAAAAAGAAATAAAATGCCAAGTACCTGAGTAGTGATACTGAGCACCTGAGTAGTGTACATGAAGGCTGAGCTCAGAGACCTGTCACAGTTGGGAGATTATGGAGGGGGTCAGAAAAAGAAGAAACATAAAGGTTAAAACAGCCCATTATACATCTAATGAAAAATATCTGAAAGCACAAGGAACAGAAAAGACAGATGAAACCTAATTAAAGGCAGAAAGGGAAAACTTGAGAGAATCTCAATGAATGCAGAGGCAAAGGAAAAAGATGTTAAAACATGGATTTCAGAGGGTAAGGTGACTAAAGCAACTGGTGTTGCTTCAGCAGAAAAGCTACGTGCAACAAAAGATATTCAGAAATTAAAAGAAAGTAAAATATATTGGTCCAAAAACCCATCTTGTCCCATGATAAAAGGATTATAGAACAATAGGACAGCAAGATGTAACTAGTTTAGTGACTAGACGTCATGAATAAAGAAAATTCTATAGGTGTCCTAGCATGTTAGTTACAAAGGGGGAAAATAGGTTTTCTAAAAAGCAACATTTAATACCAAAAGACCTCTATATATAAAAGGCTAATATGCTAAATGTCCAACTTTCTGGGTAATGATGTCACGTAGCAACGCCCGGCTTCCTCTCCCTAGCGATTAGCCTCCTTGCAGTTTCTTTAGCCCAGGAACACAACTTGCTCAAAGTCACTGATCATCAGAGAGATGCAAATCAAAAGGACAATGAGGCATCACCTCACAGTTGTCAGAATGGCTACCATCAATAAATCAACAAATGACAAGTGCTGGCCAGGATGTGGAGAAAAAGGAACCCTAGTACACTGCTGGTGGGAATGAAGACGAGTGCAGCCATTATGGAAAACAGTATGGAGTTTTCTCAAAAAATTAAATATGGAACTGCCATTTGACCCTGTGATCCCACTTCTAGGAATATATCCTAAGAAACCCAAAGTACCAATCAGAAAGAATGTATGCACCCCTATGTTCATAGCAGAGCAATTTACAATAGCTAAGATCTGGAAACAGCCGAAGTAGCCATCAGTAAATGAGTGAATGAAAAAGCTGTGGTACATTTACACCATGGAATACTATGCAGCAGTAAAATAGAAGAATCTCTTACCCTTTGAGACAGCATGGAGGGACCTGGAGAGTATCATGCTAAGTGAAATGTCAGTCAGAGAAAGACAAGTATCACATGATCTCACTCATATGTGGAATTTAAGTAACAAAATAAGCTGATGAACAGAGTGGATCCAGAGACATGGAAGCAGGGAACAGAGTGCGGAATTTCAGAGGCGAGGGATGGTAGGTGGGTGGAAGGTAATCAACCAAAGACCTTCTATGCATATATGCATAACTCATGGACACAGACTATAGGGTGGTGAAGGCCTGGGGCAGGGGGTGGAGGTTGGGGGCAGGCTGACAGGAGTCAATGGGGGGAAAAAGAGGGTATATGTAATACTTTCAACAATAAAGATTTATTAAATCAAAAAAAGGAAAATGCAAATGAAAAGTATGATAAACATAAAGCGTAACAAAAGATGATACATATAAAAACAAACTCGGCCCTAACTGGCTTGGCTCAATGGATAGAGCGTTGGCCTGCGGACTCAAGGGTCCCAGGTTCGATTCCGGTCAAGGGCATGTACCTTGGTTGCAGGCACATCCCCAGTGGGGGGTGTGCAGGAGGCAGCTGATGGATGTTTCTCTCTCATTGATGTTTCTAACTCTCTATCCCTCTCTCTTCCTCTCTGTAAAAAGTCAATAAAATATATTTTTAAAAAATAAAAACAAACTCAGTACTTACAATAAATTGAGTAACCTTGAAAAATAAACAAATAGCCCTGGCTGGTTTGGCTCAGCAGGTAGACCGTCGGCCTGCCAACTGAAAGGTCCCAGATTCGATTCCGGTCAAGGGCATGTGCCCAGGTTCGAGGTTCAATTCCCAGTTGGGGGCATGCAGGAGGCAGCTGATCGGTGATTCTGTCCCATCATTGATGTTTCTATCTCTCTCTCTCCCTTTTCCTTCCTCTCTGAAATCAATAAAAATATATTAAAAAAAAAAAAGTAAAAGCCTCTGTCCATATAAATCTTCATAACATCTTCATTTGTAACAGCCCCATGTGGAAACACATTAACATTTAAAAAAGGCCATCAATAGACAAAGTGTGATGTACCCATAAAACAGCAATCAGCAGCTATAAGATGATGCGATCTATTGCTCTAGCTGGTGTGGCCCAGTGGTTGGAGTGTCAGCCCACACACCAAAGGGTCCCACATTTGATTCCTGGTCAAGGCCATGTGCCTGAGTTGTAGGTTCAATCCCCGGCCAGGCTGGGATGTGTGGGGGAGACAACCGATCGATATGTCTCTCTCAAAGCAATGCTTCTCTCTTTCTCTCTCTCGCTCTAAAAATCAATAAAAAAATATCCTTGGGTGAGGATTAAAAAAAGAAAAAAGAAAAAAAAGTGTGATCTATTGATATACAATATATGGATGTATCTTAAAGTAATTATTAGTAAAAATAAACAAACAAAAAGTAAATGATTCCATTTATAAAATTTCTAGAAAATGCAAACTAATCTATAATGAAAAGTCAATCGGGTTAATAGAAGGGGTAAAACAGGCTACAAAGTGCTTGAGAAAACTTCTGAGAGTGATGTACACATTCATAACTTGGACACTGGTAGTGATGATTTCCTGTGTATACATATGTCAATACTTAGCAGACTGCACATTTAAAATATATAGTTTTGTTATATGCCATTACATTTCAGTAAAGCTATTTGCAAAAAATTCTAATATATTAAAATGGAAAAAATTACCCAAGTATATCAGAAAGAATGAGAGTCTATAAAACAGTATACCTATTTTTGTCCAAAAAACTGTTTTACATGTGTATACACATAAAATGTTTAGAGGAAAGTATAAGAAAATAAACTTGCAATAAAAAAAGTTTCTTCTAGCCCTAACTGGTTTGGCTCAGTGGATAGAGCGTCGGCCTGCGGACCGAGAGGTCCAAGGTTCGATTCCGGTCAAGGGCATGTACCTTGGTTGCAGGCACCTCCCCAGTAGGTGTGCAGGAGGCAACTGATCGATGTTTCTCTCTCATTGATGTTTCTAACACTCTATCCCTCTCCCTTCCTCTTTGTAAAAAAATCAATAAAATATATTTTTTAAAAAAAGTTTCTTCTAGCCCTGGCCAGTGCGCCTCAGTTAGTTAGATGGGCGTCATCCTGTGCACTGAAACATTGTTGGGTTTAATTCCTGGCCATGTGATCCCCAGTGAGGGGTGTGTAGTAGGCAGCCAAGCAATGTTTCACTTTCACATTCACATCGGATGTTTCTCTCTCTCTCTAAAAATCTATTAAAAAAGAAAAGTTCCTGCGGGAGGGTGGGAGCGGAGGGCAAAAAGAAAAAGAAAAAGAAAAGTTCCCTCTAGTAACTGACATTAGGAAGGCCTTTACTTCTTTTTGTTTTTTTAATCCTCACCTGCGGATTTTTTTTCCTTTTTCTTTTTTTAAGAGAGAAGAGAGAGGGAAACATTGATGTGAGAGACAATAGGTTGCCTCCTGCATGAGCCCTGACCAGGGCCTGGGCCAGGGAGAAGCCTGCAACCAAGGTATGTGCCCTTGACTGGAATTGAACCTGGGACACTTCAGTCTGCAGGCTGACACTCTATCCACTGAGTCAGACCGGCTAGGGCTTCTTTTTGTTTTGTTTTTAAGATTTAATATATATTTTTTGATTTCAGAGAGCAAGGAGAGGGAGAGAGAGATAGAAACATCAATGATGAGAGAGAATCATTGTTTGACTGCCTCCTGTACAGGACATTTTTTTATTATTGTTGATTTGAGAGAGAGAGAGAGAGAAACATCAATGATGAGAAACATCTATCAGTTGCTTCCTGTGGGTGACCTCCTGGGATGGAACCACAACCTAGGTATATGCCCTAGGGAATCGAACCCACAACATTTGGGTGTACGGGACGACACTCCAACCAACTAAGCCACCCAGCCAGGGTCTTTTCATTTTTTTCTAAAAATTTCTAAAAATAACTATAATCATGTAAATGCAATTTGTAAAAGAATAATACATTTTTATTATAGTATAATGAGATAAAAATAAATTTTTAAAAATATATCTTTATTTATTTCAGGAGAAAGGGAGAGGGAGTGGGAGAGGGAGAAGCATCAATGATGACAGAGAAACACTGATTGGCTGCCTCCTGCACGACCCTTACTGGGGTTTGAGCCGGTAATCCAGGCATGTGCCCTTGACCGGAATAAAACCCAAGACCCTTCAGTCTGCTCTATCCACTGAGCCAAACCGGATAGGGTGAGATGAAAGTAATTTTAAGGACAGAAAATAGTGTGGCTTTAAATCAACTAAATTGTTATCAGTGCATTCATTAGATGGACTGAATTATAAATTTCCTTACCATAATTTCAATTTCCCAAATTTTCTGTAATATGCTTGTTTTATTAATAAGTAAAACAAAATAGTCTTTCATTTAAAAATAATTCCAATTTAGTGTCATAAATCCACAAACTCAAATTAATAAAGGGCTTATTACCTGAATTAGCACTTTTTAGTATGCTGACCAGTGCTGGCATAAGCTGAAACTCAAATGTCCTTTGGGCTCCACAGTGGCTGCAGGCTGGGAGCTCAGTGACTTCTGATGTAGGGCAGGTCAAAAACAGTGGTTGTCCACTCCAGGAATACCTAGGCACCGAAACAAAAAACACAGAGTCAGGACCACGTACAAGTCACATTGCAACATCTAAGAGCTCACTTTGCAAACTTTGTTTCTTTCTTGCAGAGTACCAGGCCTAAGCCAGAGAAAAAGAAAATCCATAGGCTCACAACGCCAGCAGCAAGCCTGTAAAGCATGTCAAGATATCTGAAGTCTTATCAATACTTGATTCAAAGTTTGGATGAAGGCACAAAAGCCAAAGTGGAACTGAATCTAAATAAAAATGCCACAAAGCCCAGATTCAGCTCAACTGCAAATTAAATGGACTCAGACCTCCTCATTACTGGCATGCCCTTCTAAGGAGTAAATATTTACTTTAGTAACTACCTTTCTTCAACATATAATTTCTGGTAAACAATTTTTTTAAAAAAGTTATTAGATATGCAAAGAAACAGAAAAATTTAATCCAGTCCTAACCGGTTTGGCTCAGTGGATAGAGCATTGGCTTGCGGATTGAAGGGTCCCAGGTTCGATTCCGGTCACGGGCATGTACCTTGGTTGCGGGCACATCCCCAGTGAAGGTGTGCAGGAGGCAGCTGACAGATGTTTCTCTCTCGTCGATGTTTCTAACTCTTTTTCCCTCTCCCTTCCTCTCTGTAAAAAAATCAATAAAATATATTAAAAAAAAGAAAAATTTAATCCATAAGGCAAGTCAATACAAGGAGACCCATAGACAAGATAATGGTATTATCAGAAAAAGATTTTAAAATACCAATAATACACATGTAAAAAAACCTAGAAGAAAAGGTGACCATGCAATAAACAAATTAGGAATTTAACATAGAAATGGAAACGCCAAGACTGAAACAGAAATGTGATATCAGAAATAACTTCATTCAATAAAGGAAAATAGTAGACTGGAAACAAAAAAATTAGTATGTCTGAGGAAAATAGAAATATCCAAAATGAAACAAAAAGTGAAAATTTAAAACAAAAGGATAAAAAGCTTTAAAAATCATGAGACAATTTCATATAATCTAACATGCAATTCACTAGAGTCCTAGAAGGAAAGATAGAAAAAATATTTGAAAATAATGACCAAAATTTTTCCAAAATTAATGAAAAGTAATCAACCCATAAATCCAAAAAGCTCAGCAAATCCCAGGCAGAATAAATTGAAACACACAAATTCTAAAGTACACAAAGTGTAAATATATGTTAAAAACAGAACAACAAACAATAAGAATTAATTTCTAATGGATACAATAAAGATAATAGAACAAAATCTTTTCAATACTGAAAGAAAAAAGTAATATTTATATCTAATAAAAATGTCCATTAAAATAAATATTAATGCATTTTTAGACAGACATAACCTTAAAGACTGTCTCCAACAAGTCTTCACTTCAAAAAAATAATTAAAATAAGTTCTTCAGACAAATAGCACCTGGAAGCCCATATCTGCATGCAGAAATGTAGAGCACCAAAAGGTTAAATAGGTGAATAAATAGAAAAGCCCTTCTAACAAGTGTTTTTATTTCATTTTACACACATACATTTCTTTTATTTAAAAACTATTGATTATTTCAAGCAAAAATAATAATGTTTATGGGGTATATAGCATCTACAGAAGTGGATATATGAAAACAAGATCACAAAGGGCAGGGGAAAGTAAATGGGAATCTGGATGGGTTCTCAGCTCATAGGAGTAAACTACTAAGTGAAGGTAGCCTAATAAGTCAAAGCTGTACATATAATCACTAAAGCAAGCACTAAAAAGGCTACAGAGCTATTACAGAAAGTTAGGAAAGGAGATAAAATCATAAACCATCTCCGCTGGTGTGGTTCAGTGGTTGAGCAACAACCTATATAAATTAGTTCACAGTTCGATTCCTGGTCAGGGCACATGCCTGGATTGCAGGCTCCAACCGCAGTGGGGAGCGTGCAGGAGGCAACCGATCAATGATTCTCTCTCATCCTTGATGTTTTTTTTTCTCTCTCCCTCTCCCTTCCTCTCTAAAATCAATAAAAATATATTTGAAAAAATCATAAACTAAAAAAAGTC